TATGGCAGGAGTTTTGTACCTTCTGGCATTTCGCAAAGACTTGCCCTACCGGCTAGTGTTTGTTGCCTTTATTTTTGGTTTGGTTGGTTAGGTTTAGGCATGAGGAGAGAGATGGTTAGGCTTAAAAAAAACTGTCAGGGTTAGAGCCAATCAGAGGCAGAGTAAGGGCATAATACAGGTGATGAAAAACACATAGCTAACTAGAAAACAGCACTGAAAATATATATTTAATATTTTTTATTTATGTTGATACAGTTTTCCTTTTATTTTGGATTGAACCTCTAACTATTGTTAATACAATAAATCTCCACGTTTTCTTATGTTTGCTGTATACAGCAAGATGGTTGGATAATAATGAGGCACATTTCAGTTATTTAAGAGCATTCTATGAATTGTTCAAAGCAAAGCTTGTTGATTGATCATCAACAAGCTCCTTTACTCACTTCCCCCCTCTGTTGGCCAATTAGCAACAGAGTTGAGGCAGGTGACCTCTGGGAAGCGACCTGGGCGCACTCTGGGATGCTTTCGTTCCATGTCGCTGCCGAACGCTGAAGCCTCTACAGCGGCAGACTGTGTGGCGGCAGCTCTCATGCTCACACTGTAAAGCGTGGCGAGTTTCACACACTCCCTCGAGCTCGGTGCAGGTGCCATCTGTCTCATTGTGAAGCAGAAACGGGTTCAGTGGGAGCAGAAGTTTGGAAGAAACTGTCAGCCCAGAATGTAGGTCAGCAGGTTCCCACACCAGCTCTGCTCTGCTGTCCAGAAGCTTTGACTCTATGGCTCTGTGGAGGAACCTGCAGACTTTCCGCTCAGATGAGGAGAAAACTTTAGAGCCCCTTGTCAGTTGCTGTTTTCAGTGTTTAGTTGATACTCTTGTTTTTGGGCTCATGTTCGGCTTTTTTCCACTGCTGAATTCATTTACTTTGGCTGCTGCAGCAAAATCTCCCCACAGGGATCAATACACATTTATCTTATCTTTAAGTATCCAAAATCAGACAGATGACTTGTCTTACTCAATGCTACAGTGTGTGTGTGTGTGTGTGTGTGTGTGTGTCTGGCAGCCAGGAGCCACACTGCACACAGCTGGTGGCGCGGCTGCAGCGTCTCGTCCCAGCAGGGTGTATTCTTAGCTCCCTAAAACCCAATAAGTGAAATGAGATTAGACTACACACACATACACACACACAGAAACACACACAAAACCCAAACCTCAACCACCGCCACCACCCACACATGAACACACACACAGGCTTAAGACTGAGCCCATGTGTGAAGAGAGGCTGCTGCTGAAGTCTCCTGTCTGTGAGTTTTTTTCTGTCTTTCCACATCTGCACTGAAACCAGCTCTGATGGCACACGTTAACATACATGTTCATTGTCCTGTATGAATGAGAGATGTTACTTTTTTTTATCCTCCACTCAACCAGCTCTAAGTTAGGAAAACTCATCTTGTTCCACACTTTCTGACAGCGTAACATACCGACATTCTGTATCAGTTTGTTCCAGCTCTTCGTTGAAGCTATGACGTTAACATTGAGTTGAATATTCAAACCTGTTTTTTTAACATGCACGTTTTCTCCAGGATTCAGCCTGGCATAGTTGCATCTTTGGTAACTTTACTCCACTAGAATTAAAAATAATGTTTGAGTGTGCACTGACTCTTCCGCCACAAGATCAGTGGGTAACATGTGTGTTTTGTCTCACTGAGCTCATGACATTTTGTTTGCACATTATTTATGTATTTATTTATTTGTTTCCAATCATTAGATTTTGTTATTTATTTACTTAATTGTTACTTTAATTCAGCCTTTTTTTAATGCTCATACTGCTTTGTAAGCTGTGGCAACTCTCTTGCTATTGTATTTGCTATTATATTTATTGTATCATATTATATTTTATTATCTACTATGTTATACCATATTATTACATTATAGACTGTATTATATTCTTACTATATACCATTATATTACTTTAGTAACACACTATTAGTTTACGGTCAGCACAAGCTTGCTTTGTTATTTTGACGTATTTGCTCTTATATAGTTTTTATTTTTATGTCTTTTCTTACTTTTTTATTCTTCTAATTTATTTTATTTATTATTTATTTATTCGTTTTTCTCTATTTATCTGTATTTTTGTCTCTGTGCTTCTGCAACACCCAATTTTCCCCCTGTGGTGATCAAGAAAGACTTTTCTTTTATCTTATCTTACGTATTATATTCATATGATACATACTAATGTAAGTAGAGAGACACAAAGATATATATATATATATATATATTACACACACATACACAGTAAGGCACACTGGTTTAACACAAATTATCTGTTTAACATTGTTTTGTCCTCTTCCTGTTCTTCTTGTCTGGTCTTCTTCTAGTGCTGTAATACTACATTTTCTTGTACTCTGAATGTTAAAAATAGGTTGAAGAAATGTACTGTCTAAAATGATCTCCTCAGACCCTTCGGATGTCCCTTAAATAGCTTTAAAGATACAAAAATGAATGAATGAACATTCAAACCTCATCCAGTGCCAAGTTTCTAATGGCAGCAACATGTTAAATGGAAACACTCCACATGTTTGTGCATCTTTTTATACACCTTTCCCCATAACTCAGTCTGACATGTTTAGTATATTTGGAAACTTTGGGATTCTCATTGGAGTTAAAAAATAAAGTCCTGTGTGGATTTGAAAAATTCATTAAACCTTTTAAGTTGCAAACATTATTTTGATGAGTTGTGTTGAGTGGGTTGACCATAAATAACGATGGAACACACTGGTTTGCAACAAGTTCAATTTTATGAGTAGCATTCAAATCGTACTTAAAAAACTGTATGCCTCCAATGTAGGCGGTAACTTACAATAATACATTTGATTGTAGAAGGAAAAGCTAATTCCCCCCCAAACTCAATGTAGTACATCAATAGTTGTTGAACATAATTCATTAGAAGTTGCATTACTCAAACATTTAATTAAAACGCTTTAGTTTTATTTATTTATTTGTTGCCAAAAACATTTGTTTTTAGTGTGGATTGACAACCCAGCAGCATTGATGCCGGTTTGACGGAAGTAGAAATGAAGCAGCGAAGGGTGTTATCTTGTTTAACATATTTGTTTTTCTCATGTACGACTTTGGGATGGTATTTTATTGTAAATAAAATAAGGCGTCGGCAGGGCGTGGGTCCGTCTACCTCGCTCGGCTGTCGGCGCGTCGCTAGATCCAGGTGATCATTAGAGTAGTTTTGTCTCAGTGGGTATTTTGTCCCGCCTTTTTTTTTTTTGTTTTTTTTTTTTTTTTTTTTTTTCTTTGTTTGTTTCTCGTTTTTTTTTTTTTTTTTTTTTTTTTTTTGTTTTTTTTTTTTTTTTTTTTTTATCACCGAGGCCAGCCATGTTTTGTTTGTTTTCTTTCTTTTTTTTCTTTACCTTATTATTCTTTCTCCTTACTAATCTTTTTTTCATCATTATCTAATATTTGTTGATGCTTGACATTTGTCATCATTATTGGTGATGCTGGTTCTCAAATGCCAGACTATGGTTTTGCCAGTTTTTCTTATGCTTTAAAATAAGCCTTTTTTGTATCTCGCTATATTATTTTGTTTGTATTGTGTTTTTCTTTTTATTTCTATATGGGAGTGTTGTTATGCTCTTGTGTTTTCTGCCAAGAAGTGTGTGCCGGTTTGAGCAGGTGTTTTTGGTGTGTCGTTCCGTGTGTGGTGTATTATGTGTTATATTATTTCGTGAGAGGCTGAGCAGCTGTTTTTTTTTTTTTCATTATTTTTTTTGTTTTTGTTTTGTGATTTCTCTGTTTTTATTGTGTTTTGTGTGATGATTGGAGCGAGGGGCGGCTGCGGGGGAGGCATTAGTGAATGGCTGCGGCTTATTTCTTTTTCTCTCGTTCTCATTCTCTTCTATATATCACTATCATTCCTTGTTCTTTATTTTATCACTATCTATCACATATTTTTTCATCTTATTATCACATCATCACACACTCTTTTGTCTCTCTAGCCACACTTTTAATATACCGCCTTTCTTTTCTTATCCTTTCCATTATTATTATATCTGTTCTCCACTCTTGCTCCTATTACACACACACACACACAGTACCTTAGCAGCACACTAAACCCGCCTCCTTCATCCCCAAAAAACTCCCATCTCGCTGCCATACCTCTATATCCTCGCACCGCCCCTCAACTAAAGTCAGCGCACACACTCTCTCCTCTGCCAGACTCACCGAGAGACGGTGGTGTGTGAGGAGGACCCGTGCGTATTTACGCTCAGAAAGTGTGTGTGTGCATGTGTCCGGGGAGAGTTGGAGAGCCCGCGGCGCGCTGACAGGAGAGCCGCGAGCGGGACCCGGCAGCGGGTGATAAGCCTTCAGAGAGGAGGAAGAGAGCTCGTTCATTTGGCTTTTATTTGCCTGCCTCTCCACGCGCTCTGCCGGCTGGCTGAGAAAGGAAAGCAAACAAGCTGATTAAGAAGAAGGGTCCGATTCAGCCCGAACAGCTCCAGTGTTCTGATCGTATTTTTAGCATCCCTCCTTTGCCCCTCTCTCTCCCCGTCCCTTCTGAGCGCGGAGTGGCAGAGGGAGGGACGGCAGAAGCGGGCGGACGGACCGCGAAGCCGCGCGCCTCCCCGGTGGATGACCCACTGGATGCGGGGCGATGGATTAACAGCCTTCCCCGGAGCCTGTCGCTGCTTCTTTTTCACCGCCGAGCCCCTGTCCACCTCGGGATTATTTCAGCTCTCACCGGCCTCCCCTCCCTCCCTCTCGAGATGACCGAGGAATATGTTTTGCGGTGCGTCCTGATGCTCTGCTGCGCGCTCCTCTCGGCCAACGCGAGTAACTGGCTGTAAGTTGGACTCCACGTTTCTAATCCTGATTTTACACAAGTGGACCACATCTCTCACTCCTCTTTCACCTCCACTGTTATCATTCACCTGACCTCCTCCTCGTACTCCTCCTCCTTCTCCTTACATGTCCGCTCATCTTCTTCTGTCCTCTTTCCCTCCAGCTAAGTGGCCGCTCACGTTAATTGTTAACCATCACACACACACACACGCACGCACACACACTCTCCCAGACTTAATAACTTACCAACACCGCTACATCCCCCCGCAAAGACCCTTACAACAAAAGTTACCCACAAGTGAAAAAGCACATGTTCTTTTTGGAAAGGTGCAGGTTTCCATACAGGTGAAATTTCATATTCTTGAATTGAAAATGACATTCTGCATGTGAAAAAGAAGTTTTATGTGTGAAATTAATATGTTTAATGGCAGGTGGAAATGTGACAATAATATACATGTACAGCCTGAGGAAAAAAGCTTAAGAAGTTGGTGTCAGATGTAAACTTTCCCCTAAGTGAACAGGTCTCCTCTGCCTTTATTTTTTTGCTCTGATAACCCTCAACCCCACATCAGAAGATGTGGAAACGATGCAGTCAAGACCTTGCAGAAAGAATTAAAATTTTCAGTATTCTAGTGCAGCCTGTAACACTTAATGTGCTCGTTTTCTTGTAAATGGCACAAAACTGTGAAACTGAGCCATTCTTTGCCTTGAAAACCCTTTGAGGAACCGTGAGTGGTTCACAGACATGCATCCTTAAAAACATTGTTTTCGCAAGAGACATAAATATCCCGACAAATTACCAGTGCCTGAATGCCGCACAAATATTACAGTGATGCTAAAATACATTTTGAAAAAGTCAGTGTAGAATAAGACAACTGTTACCTTTAAATAATAAAAGTATCCCAGGAGATAAGGAAAAATGAATCTCACAGACAATTATCAGCCCATAACAGAATATTTTATTATTCGTTTGCATCTTGAATTTGGGGGGGTCAGACTACGGGGGCTCCTAAATCCCCGCTGAGGACAGCACACAGTGTGACTCTGTGGCTGAAGTGCACAGTGCCACCTCTTCCTGGGGCTGGTCGGTTGGGTCGCATGTGTGTGCCTGCTCTCCCGGCAGCCTGTGGGAGGTGGTTTGGTGGGTTTCTGCATTCCTCCGCAGGCTCCGCTCCATTTTCTGCTGCCATTCATTCCTCTTAGCTTCAGCAAATTTACAAGCAGCGCTCATCATTTAGGGAGAGTCGAGGCTGGTTTGAGTTAGACCTGATATTGATAGTCTTTATTATATGACACAACTTCCCACGCTTATACTCTCCCTATAGGGGCTTAAATTGTAGCTGCTGTGCCAAATAGACTGTGTGCTGACTCTCATATTTGCATTTATACTTCACCTATTTATTTCCCTGTATTAATACTTCTGTAAGATGCATAATAAGATCACTACAGCCTTGTGTGTTTACATCAGGATGGTGCTGCAGACGGCCTAACTGATATCGCTGACAGATTCATCAGAATAAATCAAATTAGAGCCTTGCCAAACAGCACTGCCTACCTTGAACTCTGTCACTGAGTGCAGGGTAATTGTGCTGTTTGGGGCTGAAGGCGTGGTGACAGCAGCACACAGCAGGCATGTACAGGCAGGCTGCCGAGCTGCCAGTCTGCTCGATGGGATTACACTGTTGAGGAAAAGTCTGTGTGCGGCTGTACGGACTGTACATCGGCCCCTCGACACCTCAACAGTCCCTCAAGCTTCAGTTTCACCTCCACACAGCAGCAGGTACACTCAGGGTCATAAAACGCACAGCATCTCTTTTTCTCTATCACTGCTGTTTTTGTTCTTTATCTCTCATATGTCAGCCAACTATTCAGTGCCACTGCCATATCAGGTATTTATTTATTTTGTATTTGAGCTTACTGTAAATCAAATATTTCAATGAAAGGTTGTTTTTAATCAGGTTTTAAAGGCTGATTTCTTTACATTATGATAATATTGATAACAGTGTATTGGCATTATGTGTTTTATCAAAAAGCACTCCAACTACGCCACTTTGTCTTTTAACTTCCTGTCCACTCTGAAGTCTGTCTAAGACTACGCTCACACTGCAAGCCATAGCGCTCAATTATATTTTGCTCAGATCTGATTGTTTGGCTGTTCGCATTATTTGTTGAATGTGGCCCGTATGAGATTCCAGTGTGAACGGGTCACAGTCCTGACATGACCCGCATGATGAATGTCGATCTAGAGTGACGTAAAATTCTCTTGCACTCCGATATGACTGTTCACACCGAGACTGCATTGCAAAGAATCAGACCTCTTTCTGGTTTGGACCACGTATGAAAGAGGCCCAAATCAGAATTAAAAAGATCAGATTCCAACAGATCTGAGTCATTTTGTCTTGTGGTCTGAATGCAGGTTCAGTTGGCATCTGCTGCTTGTGATCACATTACGCCTACATTTTATCAAATTTCTGAGCATGCAGGACAGACAGACAGAGCCACTCCTTCACAGCTCTGTAATCAGCTGTTCGTCATGGTGACTGGTCAGAATGTGTTGGTGTTTGTTTTTTATTGTGTGTTCATAAGTACAATATCTCCTCATCTAAAACACAGCGTCACAGTGGAGACTCATTAGTTACTCAGTCCAGTTTCCTATGATACGGGCTTAATATTGTGTAATGGGTATGTTATAATAATAAATATGTTATTACATTAAAAGCTTTACTTCATGTTGATAGAGCTTCCAGACCAACAAAGTACAAAATAATCATCATTTAGAACTTAATAACCTGTTTGAATCAGAGCTCTTGACATTTTTTACCACAGAAACAGCACGTTGCTGCTACGACCACAAAGTGAGCTAATTAATCTAATTCTAGCTCTAAGTCAACACCGAACATAAGATGGTCTTTTTAACCTGATATCTGGTGGGTGTGGTATTGTCAGGCCATATGACCCCTAGAGCTGCATGATATGGTAAAAGAAAAATCCTTTTGCAGTTATTTTGAGCGATATTGCGATTGCGGTATGATTCAGGATTAGTGGGAATGATCATTTTTATCACAAATTGACTAAAAATTTTATTTGTGACCCCTTGATGATGTGACATTTGTTGGGGTCTTTACCCACACCAAACCAACACGGGCATCTCTGCAGCACTACAGTACTTCATTATGAGGCTGTTCGTCACACACCTTTATCAAAATATTGCAGCTTCTGTGATTTTAATATTGCACTTAGTCATAATGGGATTTTGATCATATTTAGGTAATGGTGCAGCCCTAATGACCTCATAAATGTGTTCCCAACTACTGATAGACAGGTAAATGAGGCTGTGTGAATCGATCAGCACTGAGACTTCTTACTGAGCAGCACTCTTTAGTAAACTTATTGTCATGTGTAAAATTAATCTGTTTGTTTATGAATCTTGCAACTTTATTTCGGATAGTGCTAAGTAGATCACATTGTACACATACAATTCATTATTTATGTGATTTTATGTTAAAATGGGTATGGTTCAAGCAAAAAAAAACTTGAAAGATTGTGAATTTACACTAAACATTGTTGTTTAGAAATGTATTCAAACAGCTGCACTCTGCAGTTGTGTTTGTTTATTGCATTGTTAGCATCGGTTATAATGACAAAATGCTTTTCTTCTCAAATGAGAATATTTTCTGGTTGTCCTTGTTCTTTGCTCTGAATACCTTCAGGGTTTTGGACTTTTACTCAGATAAAATAACATTTATATGTATAAATATATGACTTATATTTAGGCTCTAAATATAGCGACAGACATTTTTTTCAATTTTCTGACATTTGTTTGATCAAATCTTTAAGTTACTGATCGTGAAAAGAAGATAATGCACATAATTGTTAGTTGCAGCTTTCATTCTGTTCACATACTGCAGTGGAGACATTTGACAGATTGTTATTGTTTCACACATGAAAAAATGTCTTAGAATTTGCAGTTACTGACTGATTCAGAAAGGCTCCAATGTTTCTTAGACCTCTCAGCTGTTCCTACGTCACATCAAACCGCAGCCCGAACCGGACTGTTTGTTTACCTCACCTGTAGCTCTGCCTGTGCCTGTCACCTTTTGCCCATGAGCCAGGATGTGATCACTTTGCCAAATCTCTGTGGCTGCTGAGTCATGTTTAGTGTCCCGCTGCCGAAAAGAGATTTGAATGCAACTTTTCATTAGTTTGTCCGTCATCACCCTCCTCCTCCTCCTCCTCCTCCTCCTCTTCTACCTCTTCCTCCTCTTGCCCTGCTCTGACTGCACCTGCACGCTGCTCCAGGACTGCTGTGTGTGTGTGTGTTTGTGTGTGTGTTTGTGATTTGTTTTTGATTAAGCATGTACATTGGCATCTTCCCCAGAAGTGGCACACACTCAGTAATTACCACACTGACCGCAGAAGAATGGTAGCCACTTACAGTGCACCAGTTCACACACAGTATCCACGGCCGAACACAATGTTATAGAGGAAGCAAGGAAGTTGTGTGTCTGGTGTGTGTGCGTATGCATGTGTGTTCTGAAATCAAATCAAAGAATTTAGGAATGCACTGCCTAGTAAGACATCATGAATCCTCAACATGCCCAGCCATGTTGGTAATGTCCATTTAGGCAGTGGTGGATGAAAATTTTACTTATGTAAAAGTATTAGCATCAAGTACCAAAAGTAAGAATAATGTATATTATCTTATTGTATTATAAATAGATTAATGTATGTATCACAAACATTCAATAATATTTCATAACATTTTACTCCTTTATTGATAAAAACAACAAAAGAGTCTAGCCATATTCATAGGTATGTTTTCATTAGTGTATAATCAGCTGAATATAGTTACCTTAGAATGAGCTGTTTAAATCTACAGACACCGCGAGTCACCTTCCACCTTTTACCATGTTGAACCGCTATGTTTCTACAGTAGCCCAGAAGGGACAACCAAACACTGGCTGTAGATAGGCGAGTTCACTTGGAAGGGCAGGGTGAAGC